AGGAAGGAAGGAAGGAAGGAAGGAAGGAAGGAAGGAAGATAGCACTAGCACTTAGACTTATATACTGCTTCATAGTGCTTTTATAGCCCTCTCTAAGCGGTTGACAGAGTCAGCCTCTGGCTCCCAAAAATCTGGGTCCTCATTTTACCCACCTCAGAAGGATGGAAGGCTGAGTCAACCTTCAGCAGGTGAGAATCGAACTTATTCAATTGAATAATTGAATTAAATTCAATAATTAAATTGAATTTAACAATTCAATTATTTAAAATGAATAAAAATATTTTCATTGTTGTCATTCACATTTCACTCTGTCCCTCCTTCTGCATCCTTTCTTTAATGATTCTGTCCCACCATTTCTGTAATGCTCATGTAACTCTTGTCCTGGAGCGAGGTGTCCTGCGGTCAGTTGGCCATGGGAAATTGTCATAGATCCCCACCCCCACCCCACATGTGCACACTCCTGATTCAGAATTAGAACAAATAATCCTTCAAATCTCCCTCCTTCCAATCTCCAGGCTCTCTCCTCCGGGAAAAAGAGGTAAGCCCAGTGTAAAGTCGCAAGAATGATGCACTTGTGTTTCAGAGGGTCAGGGAAAGTCACAGGGAGAGTGGTATGGTGGCCTAGCGGTGGAGCTCTTGCCTCACAATCAGGAGGCTGTGAGTTCAATCCTAGTTAGAAGCAGATATTTCTCTCTCTGGGCACGATGAGAACATATCTACTGAAGAAAACTCCTCATCGGCAACAGGGAGGGCATCTGGTCAGTAAACACTAAGCTCCATTCAGTTGTTCAGACTCCACCCCACAAAGAAGTTGATGAGATGAGGGAGGGACACAGGAAGCTCACACTCGTGTTTGCCAAAGGCTTTTGACCCAACATGTCTGCTCCACGCGGAGTGGGAGTGGCGGGGCTGGAAAATATGCTGAGAGTTAACCTTTCTGTGGAGGAGGAGGAAGGCGGCAGCTACTCAAGAGGACTTACTCCACGTCTCGCTTGCGGATAGTCCTGCCAGAGCCCATGACGTCGGCCACCTTGGAGACCAGCGGGTCGTAGTTCATGCTGGCCACGGCCAGCACTTCATCGCTCCTGGAAGAAAAGATCAAAGGCTCAGAAATGGAGGGTAAAAACCGCTGCCAGCTGCCCAGGGTGCATTTCACACAAGGCAGGAGGTTCCAGTGGAACCCAAGGGAGCTTTTCCTAGGCGCTTTGCTTCTTTTGCACCCAGGTCTGCTGAGTTGATCCAACGAACTGTGATATGAATGGAACACAAATGCCGACTAATTATATTTGCATGACTCACTTCATTGACTTAAAGAACAAGCTGGCAATGGTGGCATCTCTGGGGGATGGTCAAAAAAATACAAGATGGCTTTTCAAACTCCCTTCTGCAGATGGCGCTGTTCAGCAGCAACAGGTAGGCTCCCTTCTAGGAGTAGCTGCTTTGCATCATTGGCTTATTTGAAATCTGTGGCCTACCAAGTACAACCGCTAAGCCAGGAACTGCATATCTTGTTTGTGTTTAACTTTAGAACCTGACCCAAAGGTGCTTTTTTCAGGAGGCATAACTGGACTTTCTTGTTTTTTCTTTGAAGACATTTCGCTTCTCCTCCAAGAAGCTTCTTCAGCTCTGACTGGATGGTGGGGAATGGAAGGATTGATATTCCTTGCAGACAGCTGGTCCTTTGCATCCTTTTGGAGGGTCGTTGAGGCCACTTAGAGGTTTTATCTGTGTCCTCAGGGTCACCTGAGTAGTGCAAATGGTTCCTGTAGTCTGTAATTTTTCCTCTGGAAATTTAAAGGAATATAAATCCTTCCATTCCCCACTGTCCTGTCAGAGTTGAAGAAGATCCTTGGATGAGAAGCGAAACGTCTTCAAAAGGAAAAACAAGAAAGTCCAGTTATGCCTCCTGAAAAAAGCACCTTTGG